CCAATCGGACTAGAAACTGGGGCCTTCGTCGGGCTGGGTCACCCATTTTCACTGTTTAAAACCCCAAATTCACGAAGAAACAAATCTTAGAGAAGAGGGCGACGATCGGCAAGTGGACGGTGGCAGGGCTATTGGGGGTTTTGGAGAGAAAGTACTGCTGAGTCAAAAGGTAGCAATGTAGATGATTTCCAGTAAGTGAAACAATCGGTAAAGGCAAAAGTTGCGCGGCCACAATAGCGAACTGATTTCGGAGATTTGATGGGGAATGACTCAAAAAATGAGTGGGATTTGCATTTGGTGTGTCAACCCGGCCAACTAGTCGACCGCTAATTTGCATTTGGCCAAATTACAAGGGTGTGTTAGCTGGATTTCAAACCTCTGGATATAGTGACATCACCGGTCTGACCCGTCAGTCAAATCGGTTCAATCGATCAACCCGAGACCTGCCACTTTGTTAGGTTTTACCCCGAGTCGGTTATTAAAACATTGGTATAATGCAAGTATGAAGCACCATCTCTTTAATGAGTGTTTATAAGATTAGCAACTTAATTGAGGGACAAAACTAGGAAATTGTCTTTGACATCTAAGTTCAATGTTGGATTGAGAGGGATGAAAAGAATACTGAATTCTAAAACTTGCATTTAAGGGGGTTAAAGTCTAAAGTTCATTGACTAAGAGCACAAAATTTTAAGTGAATATTAAGGAGTAAGATTGATGTTGCTTTTTTATTTATTATGCATATATTGAAGGCTGTTTTGTATTTGTTTTATAAAAAGGACATAAAAATAGAAAATCAATATTGTGAATAACGACTTTTTTACAGTATATGACTTATAATTACAAAAATGTTCTCGTAATAAGAAATAGACTATTTTAGGTGAATCGTAAAATATGAAATGACAAAATCACCCGCAACGATCATATTAGAATTTAGAGGAGTGGAAGAAGCAAAAAGGCCAACGCGCAAATTTGACAACGGCAAGGGCAATATCGTCTTTTACACGCTCACATTTATTTTCCCTATACACTCAAATCGCTCACTCGCTTAGGATTTTGACTTTTAAAAATCGTTTCAATCGCGACAATCTTAGGTTTCTCCTATTTTAACAGTTCTTTTTTATTCAATTCTCCCACAGATCTTTACTTTTCTATGATTTGATTTACCAAAATGATATATATTTACGTTGTGAAATATGTTCGAAACATTAATCTAGAGATTATTNCGAGTCGGTTATTAAAACATTGGTATAATGCAAGTATGAAGCACCATCTCTTTAATGAGTGTTTATAAGATTAGCAACTTAATTGAGGGACAAAACTAGGAAATTGTCTTTGACATCTAAGTTAAATGTTGGATTGAGAGGGATGAAAAGAATACTGAATTCTAAAACTTGCATTTAAGGGGGTTAAAGTCTAAAGTTCATTGACTAAGAGCACAAAATTTTAAGTGAATATTAAGGAGTAAGATTGATGTTGCTTTTTTATTTATTATGCATATATTGAAGGCTGTTTTGTATTTGTTTTATAAAAAGGACATAAAAATAGAAAATCAATATTGTGAATAACGACTTTTTTACAGTATATAACTTATAATTACAAAAATGTTCTCGTAATAAGAAATAGACTATTTTAGGTGAATCGTAAAATCTGAAATGACAAAATCATCCGCAACGATCATACTAGAGGAGCGGAAGAAGCAAAAAGGCGAACGCGCGAATTTGACAACAGCAAGGGCAATATCGTCTTTTACACGCTCACATTTATTTTCCCTATACACTCAAATCGCTCACTCGCTTAGGATTTTGACTTTTAAAAATCGTTTCAATCGCGACAATCTTAGGCTTCTCCTATTTTAACAATTCTTTTTTATTCAATTCTCCCACAGATCTTTATTTTTCTATGATTTGATTTACCAAAATGATATATATTTACGTTGTGAAATATGTTCGAAACATTAATCTAGAGATTATTGCATTAGAAAAATTGACAAATTAATTTTCAAGTTAGAGAGTATTGCTACTTTTTATATTGCTTTACAATAATACTAAATGTACAAATAAATTGTTGAGTTAATCTGTAATCCTAACACTTCAAAATCATCCACCAATCTCACACACAACACACATAAACAAAGAATGTAAAGAAATCAAGAACAAAGACACACGAATTTTTACCGTGGTTCGCTTATCCTATATAAGATAAACTACATCCACGTTGAGCTCAAGAAACTCAGGAGTTCGCTGTACTAAAGATTAATATAACCTGATACAAACAGATTTTGCACTCAAACCCACTCTCAAATAGCGTATCTCACTCTCACAACAACCTGAAATTTTTCCTATGAGAACTCTAAATCAAATCCTCAAGACTCAAGGGAAACACAACCCTTACAAGTGATTCAACCAACCACATAAAGATTCCAGCCAAGAAAAGAAACGGAACAGAGCAGATGTTCTTTACACAGAATACACAAAACTGAAAAAATAAAACCCAGCAGCAAAACTGAAAAACGCAGCAGCAAGGTAAAGTCGTTTTTTGCATTCTGTTTTGGGTAGAATGAATCCTGGCCATCAGATTTTAATGTCCTTCAATGGTCTGGATTTCTTTGTGATGACAAGAGTAAAACGACAGTGTTCCACTAAATGCGACGGCAACGTTTTGTGTGCTTCACTCTAACATAAATCTTACAAAGATTTGTGTACAAACTAATGTGGCATAAAATAAATAGAAGAGTGAATATAAAAAGTCAAACTCATCATGTTCATTCTTCCATTTATTTTGTGTCACATCAGTTTATACACAAATTTTTGTAAGATTTGTTTGTACATATAGCATTACTCATTGTTTTATACAATTTATTAAAGTAGACAGACCGACAAAATTGTGAAAATCTATGTTGTTTTTACCCTCTGATCAATGACTAGTCTATGTATTGGGGCAACAACGTGTGAATTCAAAAACATTTAATCAGAATATGTACAAGTGTGCTTCTATTTTTTTTTTTTTTTGCTTTATTTATTTATTTATTTTTTTTTGGATTGATTTATGCTTTGTGAGAATTTTTCGGATTCAAGAATTCTGCAATTGTGTGGTTTGTAGCATGAATTATCGAAGCATGGATCAGAGAAAATTTGAGAAAGAGTGGTAAAAAATTATTGGACTTTAGAGAAAGATAATTAATAGGGAAGAGGAAGGTGCCCTTGTGCTAAAACAAGGGAATGATGGAAACCAAAAATTTGAAATGATGATTGTAGTCTATTGAAATCAAAATTTTGGCTTCTATTCTTCTAAAGTTTAGAAAAGTTTCCCCTTTTCTTCATCCTCCATAGTTAGGAAGCTGCATTATCTTGATCAGTACAAGTTTTTAGGTTAAAGTTTCGATGTGCTTCCTAACTTAAATGTCACCTATTTAAATTAATCACCTGTGAATATAATTATTATATTATGACAAATAATGTTAAAACACAACGTTATACCAACTATCGCATTCTTCCTTGATTTCTTTGTGATGAACAAGTTGACTTCACTCTCGGTTTTAGGGTTCATGCTTCGCCTAATAACATAGCTTGTCCATCCTTGATACAGGTTATTAACTACATGAGCCAATCCATAACGATCCCTACATTATTTTTCATGTTAAAATCAATCCCAAGCTAAAAATTGGAAAAAAAAGATTTGATCATGTTCTAAAATTTGATAAGCAATCACCTCGGCATTTGCTAGTTACAATTAGGTCCAAAATGTTTGAATACTATAGTAACCTTCATGTTTTTATCACTCGAGTACTCATCATCTTGCCCGAGAAGCATAACTTTGTCTTGGTTTTTGAACCAGTTGTTGGTGATTGTAACATCAATGAAGTCTCGAGTAACATCGATTAGACCAGCTTGACATTCATATAATGGACTGTGGATTGTGATCGATACAAAATTTGATGCTGTAACTAGCCTGATTCCATCACCATCTATTGCACCCAACTTCACAATCTTTGAGTTTGGATCAAAACTCATAACTTGGATGTTGAGTCACATGATCTTAAGAACTAATTTTAACTTTTTCTGGCCTTCAAAATCCCTTTTTTTTAGTGTCATTCTGAAGTAGTATATTAAGAACCAATTTAAACTTTTTAGGTTCATTCTCAAGCAGTAATCATAAAATTCCAGTGTGATATAGTATGGTCAACTACGAACAAATTAACAAAACTTATCCAAGTTAAGCATGCAAGGCAAAATATAAAGTTTACATACTCAACTAATACACCATGTTTTTTTTTTTTTTAGAGAAAGATGCTTTCGCAGCTTATTAACCCAAAATGGCTGAGAAGAGGAAAGGTTTCTTTTTTTAGGAGTACTTCCGAAAACAGAACCAGTGTAGACGGGGCGGGCCCTAATGGCATAAGGCTACAAATATGCAAATTGTACAGAGCCACAATACAGCAAGTTCTATTCTCAGCCTAAATTGCAATGTTTATTATGATTTAAACTCATTCCAAAACCCTATTAAGAATTAAATTATAAAATACTTTGACAATAATTTCCGTTGGTACCCAGAACACGGTCCAGAAACATTTGAGAATGTTGAGAATGAAGGGAGGAGTTGGAGGTACTTACCAGCAACCATTGTGTAATGGGACACCATAAAGTTAATTCGAGAATAAACTCGATAGCACATCACCTGCTGAGATAATAAAACATGAATATTGACGAACTAGTTGAAAATCAGACTCCAATACAGATAAGTTAAGCTCATCAAACAAGAAATATTACTAACTGAACTCGGTTTTAATCAACAAAGCACAAAGAAAAAAAATTAATCCTCCAATTCGATACTACAACAGCCTCGAATAGCAAAGCATGCTTCTTATAAACACACATGAAAACCCAGCATGAGGCCCATGAAGCATGACGTCCCAGTTTACTTTACCTGATGTAAAAGGAAATTATGTTTTGAACAGTGAAGCAGAGTGACAAGAAAGAATCTCACAAAAGAATAAGGTAACACAGGAAAAATCTTCCATAAAAAGTAAAGCATTACATAGGTTTTCACTGACAATAAAAATTAATGTTGTAGTTTTGCTGAAATGAGACCATGCTTAAAGTTATCTTCATAAAAAAATTATGATGATGTTCCCATGAATTATAAACTCAATATGATGAAGACATAGAAGCATCCTACATCAAAAAAGGTTTCTTCATTTACATCCATTATCAAATGTCATAAATATGATCGTCCATAGGAATTGCAAAGCCAATTAGCTGTTATCTCAGAACTTCTTTCAATGACTAGAATTGTGATGCAATTGCAAGATAAACAATCTCAGTAGATGCAGTGACACTGAACCAAAACTAAGTAATAGGTCACAGTACCAAAATTCGCCCATAGAGTTCAGGCAATCATCAATTCGTCCTGTTTTGTAATTCTTATAAAGATACAGCTTGTGATCATTCTCAAAACTCTTCTTTTATAGATTACAACAACGGGCTTGTGAATAAGCTTTCATAGTTTCCATATCTATTTTGAGATGTGATTATTTCTTGTCCAGCTCATCTCAATGCAGCTACATACCTTATACAGTTTGTCCATCTGAAGTTTCTTTGTCATCATTGATAATTGATTATGGCTATGGAGGAGTCCAATTCTCATCATTAACACCAAACAAATGATCACCTAAGAAAATGCAGTGATTCTTTATATAACTGCCCATCCTCCACAGCTAGCGGCATAGGCAATAATCACTTTGAAATAGCATGAGGTGTCAGGCAGGGGTTCTCAAGGATCTATGACTCCAAATGCATGGGATATCAATTCATTTGACAAAAGGAAACCTTCTGGATCACTGAGCCGAATGTAAGCTAGTCCATTCCCAATTTCATTTTCACTTAATATCAAGGTGTTGAATTCCTCTACAGTTACTGCGCTTCTCTGCTTATCCAAGCAAACAACATGCCCACTTTCCATGTAAGGTTTGTAAGCCCTGCAAAGAGAGTGAACAGCAGGGCGACCAAACACTTCCCCAAATGACTTCAAATCAAGGCCTCTTGCAGTTCTAAGGGATAGCATCACCACATCCATAGCCAAGTCCTTTGCATCAATTTGATTACTCCCACAGCAATCGACCACGCCATTCTCCAAATTTTGCACATAATCCACAAATTCTTTCATCTTCCTTGGTCTTGAAAACCTCAATCCACCAAGATAACTGGCAGAACCAAGACCAAAACCATAGAAGGGCTTGTTCTTCCAGTACGTAAAATTGTGCTTGCACTCAAATCCGTTTTTACAGTAACTGCTTATTTCGTAATGGTTGTAACCAGCACTAGAAAGCATACTGGATGCCATTTGATAGAAATTGGCAGATTGTGTTTCTGACGGCAGAGGGAACTCTCCTGGTGTGTACCTGAAAGCAAATTAACTTTGATGTCAAATCATTCATAAACCCAAAAGAGGGTTGAGTTACTAGAAACGATACTAATTCGACTTACAATATTCCAAATTTTGTGCCCTGTTCAACTTGCAAATCATATACTGATACATGATCAGGTTGCGATTCAATAGTTAACCTCAAACTCTCCTCCCACATTTCAGGCGTCTGGTGAGGGAGAGAAGAGATAAGATCCATACTCCAATTTTCAACCCCGCATGATTTAACAATCTCTATAGCCTCATACACCTCCTTAACCCCATGTGCTCTACCACAAGACTTTAACAAGCCATCTTGAAATGCTTGAACTCCCAAAGACACTCTGTTCACACCCAACTCCATCAACTCTTTCAATTTAGTAGCATCAAAGGTACCAGGATCCATTTCCATAGATATCTCAGCATCCAAATTCAAGCCAAACTTCGCCCTCAACGTATCCAAAATCGATAAAACAAGCCTTGGCGGCACTAGAGACGGGGTGCCACCTCCAAAAAACACAGTTTCAAGAGGCGGCTTGGTGTTACATCCTAGTTTTGTAGCATTAATTTCTCTACAGAGCAAGCGAATGTAGTTTGATATACGTGGGTCGTCGTCGTGACTGGTTTGAGTTGAACCTGAGGAAGAACCGAGAGCAACAATAGGAAAGTCACAGTAGTGGCAGCGTTTTCTGCAGAAAGGAAGGTGAATATAAGCAGAAGTTGGAATTGTGGCGGTGATGGTGGTGAGGTTGGGTGAGGCATTTTGTTGAACAGGTTGTGGAGTGTGAGAAAGAGTGTTGTTGATTGTCTGGGAGGAGATGAGTTTTGTGGTTTTGGATTTTGTGGGGAAAGTTGAGAGAAGGGTAATGAAGCTTGATTTAAGCATCCTTAGGTTAGGTGATGATGATAAATACTGAATACATTGAGCAGAGTAAGGTAAAGCCTTTGCAGCGGTAGCTTCCAAACTTTTTTGAGAAAGGGGTTTGTAGCCTAAATCCAGTAACTTGTGGCGCCAATCCAAAGACTTCGGAATACGGCCATTGCCTCCTAGTTCTAGAGTTTGTGTATTGTAGTTCAATAACAGATATTATTATAACAAGAATTTGCATTTAATTACTTTATGAGTTAATTTTAAGTAATATTTACTCTTTTTTTTTTTAATAATTAAAAAAAAAAAAAACATATTGAGATGCTAAAGAGTTATAAATTTCTATATTAGAGGAATTTAACTTACTTAAATTATGAGTTATGTGAAGTAATAATACGAAAGAGTAAGAGAAACAATGGGAAAATAACAATTTCATTCTTGAGGTTTGGTATAAGTAAACTTTAGTCTTATAAAAGTTGTTAATACCGTTTTTGTTTTGGTCCTTGTCAATAACAATTTGGTCCTTATTAGGGTACGTTTGGATCGGGAGCATATAAGATAACGGGGGTAGTGTTCATTTATTTTGCAAAATTCCGATGTTTAATTTGCAAGTAATAAAATATTATGAGAATCTTTTAATGTAAATAGTATTTACTATTTGTAATGTAAGGGGTAATCTGATACCCTCCCCCACCCTTGTGATTAAAACATTACTGGGTAATCTGATTTTTATACCTATTTTGCCCTTAATTAAATATTGTTTTGAACATAATTGTCCTCAAATGTCTACCAAATAACAATTACCCAGCCCCCCTTATATTTGAGAAATTAGCTAAAACACCCCAACCACAAAAAAATTTAAAAATTAACAAAATACCCTTAGTTACCGAAGACCATCGCCTGCCGTTACTCACCATTGACAGCTGTCGGTGTCAGTTGCCGTAATGGCGCACGACCAGCCAGAATAAGGCCTTTTTCGGCCATGGATCACATATCCATGACTGAAAACGATTAGATCTAGTCGTTTCTATGGCCATTTCACGGCAACATCTTTGGCCATGAAAATACCATAGACCTGGCCATGAAACGGCCATGGATTTGTGATCCGTGGCCGAAAATGGCTTTGCTAACGCATGGTCGGCCATATACAACCATTTGTGTGCCACTTCGTCGACTATCGGCGATGACCGATGGTGGTAGCTGGCTGCCGACAGTGGCTTAGAGTGGGTGGGGGTGATTTTTCTAAAAATTAAAATTTTATATGACTGGGGTTTTTTTAGCAGAATTTCAAATATAGGGGGTTAAAAAAATAATTCAAAAAATAATATTATTAAATAATATTGTATTAATATTTAAAAAAAAGGACAATTTAGTAATCTATATAACATACTCACCTATTTATTCTCCCAACTAAATATATTATTTATCAATTTATTCGAATCAACTAGACACATTTCTTAAACATTTTTAGTAATCTTCAAAGTACTAAACACATTTCTTAAACACTTTAGTAATATTTAAAGTAATTTTTCTTTTTGTTAATATAACATTTTCTTGTAATAAAATATTATATAATCCAATGTCCTTCTGATAAGTGTTAATTTCTTAACACGAGAAAGAATAGTGTTTGCATTTGTCAAAGAAATACATGTGAAATGACGGGGTTTGAAGTATATTATATTTATACTTATCTCCAACAATACGAGATACAAACAATTTATTCTAATTAGGTTAGATTTTTTATTTAAAAGTCTATAATACCCTTCTATATCTTATTTACATGTTATAAAAAATGAACAAAATGTTAAAAGCTAGATGTTTTGAATTTTTTGTTATCTCGGATTACTTAGATGATGTTTGATCGTTTTATGATTGTTGGTGAAATTAAAGAGATTTTGCAAACCATTCCATACATCTTTCATAACTGAAAGCATTAGTCGGTTTAAGAGTTGCAAGGCTGGTACCTTGCATTTGCTGCCCTTTAAGGCTGAAGGCATCTCCTCTTTTCTTCATGTACCGAATGACTGGTCCCGCCTACACCTACACATCAATCAATTATGAGCTACATTAATAAGCATTATTCCCAACCATACAACAAATTGACTCCATAACTATCCAATCGTAATACCTTTCACATTGCTATCTGTACAAACTATGTGGCTCTCTTGACATTGTTCACGAACTTTTGTGCTTTCTGTCGTCACAATTGGGCAACGTGGTGGTCCTCCCATCGTTCCTGCAAACCAACCCACAAAACAAACCACATAAAGAGGAAAAAAAACATAAATTATTACATGACAGTTTATAAATGCTAGAATACCTTCATCGTACTTTCTTGGGGACCTAAATGTTAGTTTCCATAAGTAGTGAAAATGCCACATTCAACATACTAAGACAACATACTTAAACGCACATACATGTACACATCCTTTTATACTTCACTACCAAAGTTATAAAGTTTTTTTACATTCCATATTAGTGATTCTGTACTTCCCGTAGTAACTGCAATCATAGACCATTACCATCTATAACTAGACAGACTGGTTTCACAAAAAAAAAAAAAAAAAAGAACAAAAGACTCATCCTGTATGCTGTTAGACTATAGGCAAAATACAACTAAGGGAATACAACCACTGTGTCAGATTCTAATAACCCTGTGCACAAAAAAGAAAACCATTTACAAGACTTCACTAGAAATCAAATGTTGGTCGTACTCATTACTTGCTCCAAGCTGCATCTTCACAAATTCTCTCTCACACTGCGGTTTACCCAAACAAGGTATCTATCTTGTAAGGTTCCTTGCAAATCTCTGTGGTCGCAGTCATCATCTCAGTGACTGTGAATCCTCCAATGTGAGAATGATGGAATACACCCTGCCTTTACGGTCTTTCTCTTGGGTCTCCTTCTTGAAGTAGTCAGCAATACCCTTGACTCTGCTTGGGTCCCATTCAAGGCATCTCAAACCTGCCCATGTGTGTGCTAGTCTGTTGCTTTTCCAGAATCTTTTTTCCTCCTCTTACGCTAACCAACGCACTCTGCTTTGACTGGCAGTGGCCGCTTGACAAGTAAAACCTACATCATCCTTTGGCGGGGCATTGGTGTGCCCCTCGACATCGACCTATACATCAGCATCGTATTCCATCTGTTCATCATTGTTCTCGGCACTATCATTATCTAATCCTCAATACATCAGCTATGTCTCTGCACCAACTCTATTGGCCTTGTCTTTGTCATAGATTGCGACAAAGATCATGTGGCCCCACGGTTTGTGTCGCAGTGCTCTTGCCAAAAGATGACTCTATAAAAACTTTAATCATCATAAGATATGCGACATCTGTATCAATAATATAAACTTGCAGTTTAGAATTTAAAATTTACACAAATAAACCAATAGAAGCATACTTACCCGGACCCAGTCATCAAAGACATCCTTGGTACATGTAATGCATTCTCGTCATCATTCCACCGAAGCCGCTACTTTTCTCAAGCTCTCGTTGATTGCATTATATTGCCTCCTCAACATCTTCAACCTCAAGTCGATATGTGGTTGTGCTTTCAGACCGCAATGAGAAAGCTTTTCCCACATCATCTTTTCGACCTTAGTTAGGTAACCGCACTTAAACCCCATTCAGTTCTCCAAAATGGCTGCTCTTTTAGCTCTAGCAAACACTCCACCAACACAGCGTCCTCCTTTTTTGTCCACTGCCGCTTACTTCCCTTCGCCTTTGCCTTGCCATTTCTGCCCCTTTCATAGGCATAGGGTCGCATGCATGCTAATACTCCTGTAACTCTGGGACCGCGATGCTGAGCTGTCCATATTGTTGAAACAACAAAAAAAAAAAAAAAAGCAGATTAGTGATATTGTACAAAAATCAGGTTACAAATGTTAGTTTATACACAGTCCGATCAACTAATATGCGCGAGTTGAATAATTTTTATTCAATCAGGAAGAAAGTACATGAACAGGATCACTTAACACTCAACCATCCATATTACGACAATGTAAGTCAATGTCAAAGTCCTCTAACAAAGGCAGATTAGTGTTTGGGTTCATTCATACATGCGCAATCAGAAAAGACATAAATTTTTTTAGTCACAACAGTACACATATAAACACAAGCACAATACATCATTCCGTGCAACCATCCAAGTATTGAACATTTCAGCCGCCAAATTGTCTCTAAATGCAGTCCACGCGGCACTAGGCTCAACGTGCCTGATCATTCCCCTTGTCATCCTCTTCCCCTTCATCGTTCACCTCTTCCTGAAGCTCTGCTTCAACCGTCAATGGCACTTAACATTATGAAATTGTGCAAAAGACAACATGCAGTAATGATTCTACATTAAGTTTTGACGGGTAGTAAGATGTGTCCTTCAATATTCCTCATTGCTTTCAGGATGCCGAAACATCGCTCAATACAATTTCTGCTTGAGAGTGTTTCATGTTGAAAAATTCTTATGGTGATGCGGTTGGTGACCTTGTTGCCATTCACTCAATGATATCGTTGTCCTCGATAAGGGCCAAAATCCTCCCCGTTAGTGATCCAGCATCGCACAAATAGTAATGCCCTGAAATAAACAATTTCAAGTCAATAACAATTACAGTGCACTATTATGGCAGACCCTAACATTAAAAATCATTTTTTTTGTTATATTACCTTGGGGGACCTTTAATCCATTTCTCCTAGTAATGGCATCTCTAGAACTCTACCATCTGTAGCGAACCTTCCCACCCAGCGGACATATATAACTGCATGTCAGGTGTGCATACACCAAGACATTTTGCGATATCACTTTTCCTTGACCGATACCTAGGATATCGACAGTCGGCACGTGAACCTATGTATGTTCCATCTAAGGCTCCCAAACAGTTCTAACACAAAACAACAACAACTTATTTTAGAGAAAACCCTAACTCTGATTTAATAAGGTACTGAACTACATGTGCATCGTAAACCTAGTTATACACTGTACCTTGAACCATTTCCACCGCTCATCAGTTGAGTTCTCGGGAATGGCCTCTAGTTTTTTAAACAGCAGGGTATGCAACTTAACACGACATTCATGACTAAGAATATTGCGGTTGATCGTCTCAGTGGATCTACGTATTTGACATTTCATTACTCTAGTCTTTTGGTTATAGGCAAGGATGTGA